CACTTTTGTTCAATTCATTACTGTAATGGCCCAGAATTGCGGTACCGTCGCTGTAACGAGGCTGATCTCGACTGGCGAGTTTCGACAAAACACCTATCTGAAGCAGACTGGACGTGGATCAGACTCGTCGTGGGAGACCCAGAAGTTGACGCGCGCTAGCATCGGCAGCTCCCCCTCTGCCTAGCGGTACAATAGGCAGTCTCCTGGTGGCGCTCCTGCCTGGCAGGCAAGAGGCTGCACATCACGTGACCTGGGATCAAACCAGAAGGGCCTGACAAGTAGCGTATATACAGACAGATACTAGGATTGTTAGTAGGGGCATCCCTAATTATAGTCTTACGCTGCATAGCTGCCAAAAAAAGCGGCTGAGACTGACTACGATCTAATGAATCAATCAATCAATGTGTTCTGTGAACCCACATACTGTATCGCCGCTCGCTTGCAGCGGAAGGTATGTGATGAACAAGGTTTGATTGCTTCTAAAACCACTCTACTTTGAATTGGAGAACAGGTGGAAAGGTCGCAGGATGCTTGTAGTTCAACTAGCTGTTCTATGAGAAATTGAAGGTAGGATGGCCTTGACAAACCCGTCAGTCATCTGCTGTTGGTTCCCATCAGGTCGGACACTTCGGGTAATATCACTCGAAGGGTCACCCACTTTCTAATGAATGGAGCTTGCTTCCATCTTACAGTACACTCCGATTCTGCAACACGCAACTGCGCTCCAAGATCAAGGTCAGGTATTCCAGACAACAGACCGACAATGCCGTGCTTTTCGGTTGGTCGAAAAAAGTCTACTCTGATATATTTCGATGCAAAGTACACCTGATCATTTTGTCTCGTGGAACATTACCGAGGCAACAACGTCGACTTGACGCCTGAAAGCTTAACTTTGATGATGATAATTGAAGGTGTCCAAGGTACACAAATAACAGAACACTTGCAATTCGCAAGCAGTCGGACCCAGATCGCGACATATCGGACGTTGAAAGTCGTAGGTTGAAGCTTCTGCCTCCAAGTCGATGATTGAGCAGGTAGATGAAAGGTCAGTCTTGCGACTCCTGCCCGTCAGATATTGATCGGTTGGCGAGTAAGGATACAGTGACCAATAGTTTAATTGCCGCCGCAATGATCAGTGTGTTCGACGATCCGATCCTGCGATGTGCAAAGGCTCCGGCGAAACTTCCAGCAATGAGGATTCCCAGAAACAGTGCTCGCCTGTCCCTCGGGTGGTTGTTCATTGCGAGAAGCTTTGGATCTATGACAAGATCGACCCAGGCGGCGGTAGCCATCGCAGTGGTAATCTCTTGAATCCGGAACGGCCGCATAGAGGCCACTTGGGCGGAGGACGAGAATGCCAGCAGTGAAATGGCTCCCAGCGCCGACGGCCCAGACTCGTTGGGACCGTACGTAGCCTGTAAGATAGCGGCGCCAAAGCCCATGATTGTTTGCATCAAGTGTGTGACGAAGAGCCACACCCTCAGCCGAGGGCCGACGATGCGGGCGATCTGGCCGGTCACGAGCGCTCCAGAAACAAATACTGCCAAACTGACGCCAACATTTTTAATGTCAAAGAGATCTCCGCCCTGGCCAGCGAGGCCTACGGCCAAGATCACCGAATTTCCCGTTTGGTTAGACGCGAAACAGTGGAAGTCCGGGAAGCTGATGGCATCTTGCATCCCAGTACTGAAAGTGAGTAGGAGAAGTTGTGTTTCGATAAGCCAGTCCACGCCGATCGAAGAATGAAGATATCGTTTCAGTCTGGTTTTGATAGGCTGAGACTTGATATGCATGTTTTCCAGCGAGTCTGGATGGCTGACAATTCTGACAGAGTTCTCTTTCTCACTCATGTATGAATCTTCTTTCGTTCATATCGTGATTACTTGGCGGCTGTGGCCGGGGATATCAACCATGGTCGGGGACTTCGGGGATCAATGTTGCGAAAAACCTACGCAGCACTCGGGTTCACGAGGACCTTCAAAGGATAAATATAGCCCTCTTGATTTACTTTATTGCCCCAGTTCAGGTATCAGAAGGAATGCTCTTGTAAATCGTCTCACGCAGAGTGTCAATCGGCTTGACGAATTTCACTCTACTCGAAAGCCAGGCTCTGTGCTATTGCATCACACAAGTTAGATCTTCCCAACCTCAGCATTACGATGTCTTTGAGCAAGAGCAGAGATTTCGTCTCCGGCACCATCTTCGGTTCGGCCTTGACACTCTCCAATGTCGCCAGCCCACGAATCATCAAAGACCAATTCAAACTATCCGATTTCCACATGCTTCTGACATTCTTGTCTGCATCAGCTTCCAGCGCATTAGTCTTTGCCATCTACAATTCCAGACAGCAAGAAAGACTGCCACTGAAGAAGGACAGCTCGTATGGTTGGATTGCCAGATTTGATGGGAACATGATTGGGGGTGCAGCTCTTGGTGTTGGCATGGCAGTATCAGGTGCTTGCCCAGGTACCGCCCTAGTGCAGGCAGTAGCCGGAATTGAGAACAGCAGATCGTTGGCTGTTGGCTGTTTGCTGGGTGGTGTCATCTTTGTCAAACTACGGCAGTATCTCGATCAAGCTCCTCACAGTGCGGAGGCAAAACACACAGTCATGGAGATGACGAGATGGTCACAAGGATTGACTCTGTTAGCATACGAGTCCTTGATGATTGCGGCTATTGCTGTCCTGCATCTCCTTGCCCCTCGAGGACATTACCTCCTCCATCCAGCCCTGGGCGGCATTTTGCTTGGCTTAGGACAAGTCGCATCAGTGCTACTGACCAAGAAGCCAGTCGGGGTCAGCACGGCCTACGAGGAACTTGGGCGCTATTTTTGGGCGACGATTGAGGGTAAAGCGAAGCCTGCCACCGAAAGTATCTTCTTCTCAGCAGGTATCCTTGCCGGTGCACGACTGGTGATGTATTTCGTACCCGCAACGCTTCAATCCCTTCATCGTGCCGATAAGATCTCGTGGATGTCTGCCATATGTGGAGGTGGCTTGTTGACATTCGGAGCAAGGTTGGCCGGAGGTTGTACAAGCGGGCACGGGATCAGTGGGATGTCGGCGATGGGTCTGAGTTCCTTTGTCACAATTACTTCAACGTTTGTCAGTGCGATTACCACCACCTTTTGGCTGTCCTGAACGATAGGCGATGGACTACAGATAATATCTCCTCACTACTACCGCGTCCAGGGTTCGCGCGGAGGGGCCAATTCTCTTTCAATGGGACTATGGTGTATGCCATCCGGTTCCTCCTGAAGTTGACGTCAAAAACTTGTTCCAAGGGTGATATGTCAAGGAGGCTTGTCACTAACGCCAAAGCAGATGGCATAGAAGACGGCGATGGTTGTATATCTACCTCCTATGCTTTTGTCAATTTTGCTTTTTTCGCCTTCTGCTTCTTTACCTTCTGGCCTTCTCCTCCGCCTGTTCCTCTTCCGGCTGCTTCTCCTTGCTGTGTCCCTACTGCTGTCGGCTCGGTGGGCTTGGGGAATTTCACCCGGATCAACAGGATAGACGTCATAAATATGGGCAATGACCCTACTCCGTTCGGACCCTACTCCGCTCCCCTTGGGGTAGGGGCTCTGCATCAGCCTCTGTTGCCCCAAGCGCCATGATGGTGTTCCAGTAAGCCGCGTTAGGCATCTACGCTCTTTTCATTTCTTGATAGGGAGATCGAATCTAACGATGTTGTTAGTTATGTTGCCCGCTGCTGAAACGTATGAAGTCTATGTCTTCTATGATAGAGTATACTTAGTACTAATTAATTAAGCCATAATATAACTTAATCTCTTATAACTTAATTTAGTAGTGCGTGTAACCCATTATATTAAAGGCATAACTAGTCTTAAATAATTTCAAACTGGTGATATTCTATGAAGCAGCATTAAAGAGGGACAGTGTATTCTCTCGATTAGCCTGCGTAGGTCTCTCTTGGATATAAGACTGGTAACGGCGGCTGTGCCGACGCAGCCCAAAACACCACCGACCCTCGGACCACAATCCATGTCCGTGACTGATCAACATTGATCCTTGGAGCTATCTCTAGATCCAAACACCTGTAAGAATCGTGCAATCATATGTGATTTTGCTGTCGTCATTAACTGCTCACCTGAGGGTAATATCGAGTCTTTAGTTTGAAGCCAACCCTACAGATTCCATGAAAGGAGAGCCTGGGCCAAATCGGGTAATGTTAGCCTGTCATGGGTCCTTAATAATTAGCGGCTGGGCACAAAGCCGTCAAAATTATTTAATCTTATCAGATAATATACTCCGTAACTGTTGCCAAATCTCCACTCCCCGTGTGGACGTCTAGCCTTAACGTTGCACAAGATCCCTATTTTCGTGGCAAAGGAAACGTAACAATGCCGACTCGTTTTTGAAAATTTGTTGTCAATCCGGTTTCGGCGGTGAAAATTTCATCGGACTAAGCTTATTGCGAGAGAGTAAGCGCTGGCCTCCGAAGCTTCAACTCTTGCTTGCCATCATGCCCAGGCGAACAAGAGTCAACGCGAAGGCTTGGCATATGGTCTTGCTACCTCTTCGCCGCCATGAGGTTCGGTAAGTCACACTTAGGAGCACCGTCCGACAAGCCTCAGAGCGGGATTTTAGTGCGCCAACGCATTCTGAGAGAGATTGAGGGCTGTTGTCGAGACACCATTCAGCTTAGCTATTGCGGAAAACTTTTTCGCCCTCCTGTCTAGCGATGTCGGAATATGCTTTTGCTGGGGCTGGAATTTTGAATTGCTGTTTAATCTCGTTGCGTCCTCAGAGGGCCAGGCTGAATGAAAGTGAAGAGAATTCGGGTAATTGCAATCTTTTGTTTCTATTAAATCCATACTGACAGACGAGTCACCCCAAGCCGAAGCCGGTCATGAAATTTGGGCATGTTTCTATTGGCAATTGAGATAGAGATTGCTCTTGGCGACTCGGCTGGCGACCATTCCTGGTACACCACTATGTAAGTAACGAATGATCATCGTTCCCTATTCCCTTCCCAAATCAGTTCGCAGCCAAAGGCCCCATGGGATCTCTGCCAAATGTTTCCTTCTGCGCCTGGGCAATAATCTTTGACACGTCCTCCTTTGGCGCATCCAGCTTGTGCTCAGCATAGTTTTTGAGACCGGGAACCTTCGACAAGAATCTCCAGAGCGGCCTCTGCAGTGGCAAGGCCCCGGTGCGTTCCTCGTACAGCATATAACAAATGGCGAAGATGATAAATAGCCAATAGATATTGTACGAGATCACAGAGCCATACGTGCCCGTATTCTGCCAGCCCAGGATAGCATTGAACACGTCCCAGCCGCGGTCCCGTTCGGGATTACAGCAGTTGACATGCCACACCGTTTGTTCGATGTTATAAGATCCGGGCCCGTCTCCGGACTCTGCAACGTCGCCTCCTACTTTCTGGGAAAACTTATAGAACTGGAGGCTCCAAATTGATTTGGAGAACATCCCGGCGGCGAGTAGGTATAGGATGCAAGTTGAGACGATAAGGAAGTATTGAATCGTCATAGAATTACCGCCCTTATAGAGAAGGTAGCCCACGAGGCAACCAGCGAGGACACCGGTAATTACTGGGATTGGAAACGCCGTTGCTGGGAGACCTAGGGAGACCCCGCCGACAAACACCACAGCTTCCAGACCCTCTCGAAGTGTAGTGATAAAGGGTAGAATAAACATGGTGTATCGTCGAGTCCATTGTCCTAACCTAGACGCTGTATTGTGCTGATGATTCCTAGAGAGTAGAGCTTGAGCAATCTTTACCTTCCACTTCTCTTTTGTCTTGTTGATTCGTAAAATGGTTAGGCCCATAATAGTGATAATGATACTGGCAATTAGATAGAAAATTCCCTCCCAGAGGTCCTCGGATTTGGCCCATAAGTTACGGCCTAGGCCATAGAAGACACCGATAAAAGCACCGCCAATGATGAGAGCGATAAGAATGCCGCCTAGAGAACCTGCCCAAACCTGACGTTTTAGGCGTTTATGTATGAGAGGGTCTTGGCCGGGTTGGCCCAGGCATTGCTTCAGAAATGATAGAAGCACCGAGATGATTATGACAGCTTCAAGACACTCTCGGAAGACAATAAAGAATACTTGGACCCCGAAGACGTTCGTCATGGTGAGTGATGGTTTGGATGAGGGAACAAAGGCGAAGGAGTAGGGGAGGGAATACAAGTAAGGTCGGACTGAAGGGACTCTGTATAGGCCTAGGATACTAGACTATAAAAAACAATTCGAAACCAGAGGAAGGATAAATCTTGGTCAAATAAAAGCTTCCCGACAAGCTCCGAAGCCAAGGGGGTAAGGCTTATGGAGTAGAAAGAAAGGCCGAATGTCGAGAGGAAGAGAAGTTAGATATTGCCATTGCGATGTCGGTTAGCGGATCTTTCTTTAGGTGATTCAGTAGATCATCTGATAACGCGAAAGAGGAAAACAAAGTGGCACTCGTGGGACCTCGATCGGCTAAAATCTTGACTTCTCAGAGCTCAGGACAGTGAAGCGCCAAAAAGGCGGTCGGGTTGATATAACGACCAAGTTTACAGCCCATCCTGATTAGGGAGAACTACGTAACCACTATCTTGGCATCAATGATCTGATGTCCAAGGCTCCTAGTACACTATATACTTCACCCCTCGCTAATCAATCATATTAGTCCACATAATTTCCAGATGTGATTGGTCCAAATGCAAGCGGAGTGGCCTCTAAGGAGCAACAGCCGCGTCCAGACTGCCATGTGCCCGGCTGCTGAAGAGAAGAACGCTATTATCATAACCACCGCCGTTCAAGAGCTCTTAATCGAAGGGGATCAGTGCGGGCAAATGCTCGCCGGCATCGGGCTTCCCAAACCTTGTCCGTTGAGTTCCTACTTTGCATGGTCAAGCTCGGTCTCGAAACCTAGAAAACATCTTCTCATTCCTGTTAGATTTCGCATCTCCGGCTCTCAACCCAATATCAATTAACGACCTTCGAAAAGTAATGCTCCCTCAGTTAGTTTAGCACAATATCCCATGGTGCTCAAACAATTTATGATCATGGCGAGATCTCCGCACACGCCCTTTTTCGCTCTAATTTTCCTACTACTCTGCGAGTATGCCACTGCCAAAACCGTCACCTACGACTTTAACGTCTCCTGGGTGAATGTGAATCCCGACGGTCTAGCAGAACGCAGAGTCATTGGCATCAATGGACAATGGCCTCTACCTGTTATCGAGGTGGATAAAGGTGACCGACTGGTCGTTAACATGTACAATGGGCTAGGCGATAAAAATACGAGTCTACACTTCCATGGAATGTTTCAGACGAATTCCAGCTATATGGACGGCCCTTCAATGATTACGCAGTGCCCAATCCCACCAGGGTATAGTTTTACCTACGACTTCACCATCAATCAAAATGGTACATACTGGTACCATTGCCACACCGACTTTTGTTATCCTGATGGCTACCGGCAAGCTTTGATCGTTCATGACAGAGATGCGTATTTTAGTTCTCAATATCAAGAGGAGTTTATCATTACCCTAACCGATTGGTATCACGACCTAGTCGAAGATATCCGATTTCTGTCTCTGTATAACCCAACTGGTGCAGAGCCAGTGCCGAACTCATTTCTATTCAACGATACTCAGAATGTTAGTCTGTCAGTTAAGCCTAGCACGACATACCTAGTGCACTTTCTTAATGTTGGGGCCTTTGTGGGACAATATATCTATATTGAAGACCATAATTTCACCATTGTTGAGATTGATGGCGTCTATACTGAGCCCACCGAGGCCGATCTATTATACATCTCTGCTGCTCAGAGATATACAGTTCTCCTCACCACAAAGAACTCAACCGACAAAAACTATCCTATTGTGACTGTCGTCGATTCACAGCTACTGGATTCCATACCTAACGATTTACAACTTAACTCGAGTAATTGGCTTGAATACAACGCTTCTGCAGACCATCCTCAGGCTATTATGAAGGTCGACACTTCTAAAGAGCTTACCCCTTATGACGACCTTACATTGATCCCGTACGACGGCATTAAGCTTCTCCCAGAACCAGACCACGAGATCACGTTAACTGTGGTTATGGGTCTTCTCAATAACGGTTTTGGCTATGCGTTCTTCGATAACGTCTCATTCACATTTCCCAAAGTCCCGACTCTTTACACTGTCATGAGTGCGGGAAAGCTAGCTACCAATGAGATGATCTACGGCGAATACACCCACCCCATAGTTCTCAAACGGAATGAAGTCGTCCAAATTGTCCTAAACAATAATGACAACGGTGCGCATCCGTTTCATCTCCACGGGCATAACTTCCAAGTCATCCATCGCGACCCTCCTTATGGAGCGGATTTCTTCAAGTACAAGGGTCAAGATTACGTCCCGTACAACTCATCCGATCACGCCGCATTCCCACCTGTTCCCTCCCGCCGGGATGTATCTGTCGTACCCCCAAAAGGGCACTATGTGATACGCTTCGTTGCTGACAACCCCGGCGTCTGGATGTTTCACTGCCATATCGACTGGCATTTGGAGCAGGGGCTAGCGTTGGTCATGATTGAAGCCCCCGAAGACATTCAGGAGACCCACAAGATCCCACAGCAGCAATATGACATCTGCCGGGCTGCCGGAGTGCCAGTTGAAGGCAATGCCGCCGCAAACACCAAGGATTTCCTAGACTTGTCCGGTCAGAACAGGCAGAAGCCCAGCCTTCCCTCTGGCTTTACGGCCAGAGGTATCGTGGCACTAGTATTCTCTTGTATCAGCGCAGTTTTGGGTATGGCATTCATCACCATGTATGGCCTGTCCGAGCCAAAACTCATTCAAAAGGACGCGCCGAATGGCGACGAACGTTCGACCATCCCGGGATCAAGTGCCAGGGATATCGTTGAGCCCAAAGTCGACCGTGCTCAGAGCTAGAATTTCTTGCTGTGGATAATGAGTTGTGATGTTAAGATATCAGACAGGTCCGCAGCAGCTTCAAAGTCTAACGGATACGTTCCTGCAAACATCACACCTAGTTCAGATCTAATTTTTGAAACGCGTAATTGAAATGTTCCTTCTAAACCTAGGCTATCTAAGGCCATTATCACGTCCAAAACATGCGTTTTCGTGGTAATGATGCTTAGATAGTCGCAGGTAAATAATGGCCCCGCATAATACATTAATGAGCATGCTACATACCTCGGAGCAGCATGTAACCAGCTACAGTCTGCAGATAGATGCAGAACTAATTATCTTAGATATCTTGGCTCGTAGTCCAGGCCTACCTCGAATCTACGCTGGCGCTCATCTGTAAGGTGCTGCAGCAGCCGTTCCGTAGGTGAGGTGCTTCACCAAATCTGAGACGCGGCGAAAGACATCCAGACCATTCAGAGAGACGTCACGGCCGCCAAGAGCTCTATGGGCCTAGGCACCACACCATTCAACCCGGCAAACTTCAAGACGGCACGAACAATGTGGGCGCAATCCAAAGGCTCCACGCTGCCACCAACACAAGTGCCAGTACAACCGGGATCACATACCACAAAGAAACCAGCCATAGTAACCGCGTACAGAGACTGACTCGTGACAGCCAAGACAGTCAAGCTCAAAGAGAGCCTCGTGAGAGGGAGTACAGGTCTTTGCAAGTCCCATACCTCTATGATTCGTTGACGGACTGAAAGCTGTTGCGAAGCACAAATACATACAAAAATGTTGATAGCCGGTCTAAAATTTCTTTCAAATTCCTGTATCTGCTCAGTATTGTCATCATTGAAATCTCAATCGTGGCCTACAGAGAGTTGAGATCGTAGCTCTTAAGAGCACATATCCTGACTGGGGATACGATGCGCACGGGACAAGGACATCGGTCGAGTCGTCGAGTTAACTAATCGACCATGCAAGTAACTTTTTAAACACCTTCACGATCAGCAAAGCCCTTTGTGATGTCTCCGATCATTCTGTTATCTTTTACAACACGTATCTCCCAGCGATACAAACTCAAAGAGCTCTTCATGGATGACGTCGCATGAATCTGCTAGCGGGGACCTCGTTATCTGGCTGTCACATATGCATATAGTCCAGTCTATAGCACTATCACGCAGTATCCCTGCTGTAGTCACTTGCTCCGTGCTGCTCTATACGCTGTCTCGTAGGTCTATAAACGATACCGGAACCCAAAAGTCTTTAAATCGGTGACGTCATCGTAGTCCTCTGGACGCAGTTGAATACCGGTTGTGCGCGTGGCCAGATGCTTGTCGTCTGGGAGATCGGCCAACTTGTCGCCAGCCACCACTCCATTGGCGCCAGCACTGCCCTTAACACCTTCGGTCCTCTCCCGACGGTGGTTCATATATTGCAGATAGGCTCTAAGCACCACTGCCAGCCCAACGACGAGAGAGTAGCAGACCAGGATGGCTTTGAATGCAGTGCCATATTGCGGGGCTTCCGAGGTCCGGAAGAACTGCGGCCCAGCGATGTTCCCAGCACAGTATGCGATGAACAACATGGCTGTCATAGTCATCTTTTTGGTGACGCCCTTGTAGTTGGCTCCTACAAGTGACAAGAGGAGGGGAATGCCAGCGGGCCCGGTGGAAAGGAGGAAATATCCAAAAAGCTGCACGCCCGAAGATGTCCTGGGGCGGACGTAGATCAGCGAGCTACCGATCACTGCTGGTAGAACGACGCAGACGATAAGGATACAATTCATTTTTCGATACCGGCCAGCTAACCAACCCGTTGCGGAGATGGTACCAGCCGAAATGACCGACGCGGGAATGACTAACAGTGTCGACTGTAAAGAAGTGAAGCCGAAAGACTTGATGACCAGGTTGCCAAAATTCTGAGTGCCTCCGTTAGGGATCTGCGTCAAAAGTGACATGGCGAAGATGAGCCAAGATTTGGGATCCAAGACACACTCGACGACCTGATCAAGCTTCCACTTCGTGTTGGCAGTCCGGCCTGTGCCGGCGATGATAACCCGATCGGCAGCGTGTTTTCGCTCCTCCGTGCTGAGGAACTTGGCCTTTTCAATACTATCAGGGAGCAACAATAGCAAAGCGAATGCCCAGAGGAAATTCAGGATACCCAAAATGATGAACATCCACATCCAGGGAGACAAGGGGTCTTCAATATGGCCCACAC